ACTGAATACTTAAATGTATCAAAATTATTAAAATGTAAAAGATAAAACCCTGTTTTCAAATAATTGTTTTAATTGTTTATGATTCTTTTATGAAATAGTCTGTAATTAAACTTCCTTTTACTACTTGTAAGGCAAATCATTATTACTATTGTTTACATTTAGGGATATAGATTTGAACAAATCCCAAAGACCAAGAATAATTCCTAAAATCATATAGCTTGTAGACAGTGCTAATAGTTTTAGCGTATGATTTTCACCTGGCGAATGGTACAGAGATTGCAGAATATCTGGACTCTGGACTGGCTCATGTGTTCGATCTGTGTCCATGTCCGTGCCTGGTAGGGGTTATCTGATGCTGGTGGTCTGATCTTTTAAGTGTTGTGTGTGCCCTTCCACCAGTAACCTTGAGCATTAATAGAGTGTTGTTGCTTCGCATTCCCATAGTGCTTTGCTTCTACACAACGCTGTTGTTTGTTACAGAGACTAAAGCGGAAACCTGAATGAAAAAAAAAAAAAATGTAAAACACATTATTTTTATGTAAACTCCAAAAGAATGTCTTGAAGCTATTATTATTCTATATGGCGAAATTGCTTATCCAATTGAGCTAACTCTTTTATCCAAAGTGACTTACAGGAAAACAATCACGGAAATGGTCTCTTTGGAGCAACCTGGGGTTAATTACTTTTGTTCAAAGGTAGAATTGGGGTAAAATGCAATTAGGATCTCAGTATCTCTCATGTTGGTGAATTACCTCCAACCATACAACTCAAACTTGGACATTTTAACTGTTAAGTCATGAAACGCAGTGAACGCAGATGCATCTATCTCCAAAATGTGTCAGAAAGCAATTCATAAGCCAACAAGTATGGATTCCACAAGGCAACCACACTACAACTGGTACTATGGACATTAGCATTTTATAAACTGCTTCCTTTTACAGCTAGTTTTCCCTTTCAGGCCAAAAAGGACATGGCTGAGCAATTGTTTGAGGATAATCTTGTAAAGAAATTTAGTTGCAGAACATTGTCAGCATGTCTATAGCTAGTTACCTTAATAACACCACAATTGCTTTAAAATTACCATTTTTTACTTGACTTGTTACCACTATTATAGTCCAATGCAATAAGTTTAACTTGGCCGCACACTTGCAATGCATTAGCCAAACATTAGTGTCTTCTTTGCACGGTTTTTAGTAATAATCCTCACCAGAGAAACCTGTATGTTTGTATGTTTGTGGATACTTAAGATTGCTTTGAGAGTCTTTTCCATGTCAGCACTTCCTGATATTGTTTGCCAGTCCCATGAGGTGTATTTACATGACTCGGAAAACCAATATCGATATAATGCTAGTTATACAAGATACAGCCATTTCCTTAGACCAATTTGAAGGTTAATGTGTTTTGACAATATTCTTGACCCCACAGCTCAATGACTTTAAATTACGAGGTGCAACTGGATTTGACTTTTATATTTGACACTTTTCCCCCCAAGAAAACTTAAAGATAAAGTAGCCTATGTAATGTCTTTGTCACTTAATTCACCAAATTGAACTCCAAAAGTAATGTTTTTAAACAGTTCAAACTCACACCATTGTCTGAGGCACTGTTGTTAATGACACAATTTAAAGGTACATTCACAACGCATAAAATTTCCATAATGTTAGAGTAAAATAGCAGGAAATGATATAGGGCAGGCTTTTTCTCCACCCACATGGCATTAGGTACATGTCTATAAGGTAGAGAAAGTATATATTTTGATGAAACCATTGACAGTTAGACCAGGGACATTTGAGAAAGTTAATATGGTTAATTTTGATGTTTTCTTGAGGATGATGATATATGGAGACATGAGTTCAAATATCAGTTCTCATTAATAAAAATCCATTTGTGATGAAAGAAATTCACCACCCTCTGTATTTCATAAAGAAATGCTTCTGTATCACATTGCAAGCATCAAACTATAAGAGAAATCTGCCAAGACAGTTTGGCAGTCTGTTCTGTTAACACATAATGACGCCTCAGTTTCTTTGCGGTAACTCAAAAATAGTGTGAGACTACAAAAGGTCACCACATCTCACTGTGGGTTTTGTGGAGCATAAAATGAACTTAACCCATCACCGCAGCGTACAGGCCCACACCATAAGCAGCCATTAAAACGACATCAAATTCACACCTTAGTAATTCCAGCCGTATGGGGAGAGCAAGAGCAATTTCATAGACATAGATAACAATTACTTTCAGCTTCAAATCCTACCTTAATTTGGCAGGGGGAATTTCCACAGCAATACAGGGTTTATCATGCAAAACCAGTTAACACTGAAGCTGGGAAAAAAAAAAAAAAAAACATAAGATCTTTTTTTGGGTTAGTAAGTATTGAGATTCTCCAGCCAGGGCTGTATAATGAAATAACTGGCCCGGATAGAAAAGAAACTGAGAGATGTGTGGAGGTAATGGGCTTTTCATGCAAATGAGGGATGGCTGAATTAGTGAGGGTGCCCACGGAGGCATTCAGGAGAGAAGATCGGCTTTGTTCTGAGCCAGGGCCGTTGAAACCTTTTATCCCATGCCGTTCGCTAACGATGGACGATCGCGCTAAGCTATAACATGAGCTTGTCTGATTAACCAAGAGAATCGGTCTCTTTGTTCATGTTGGATGGGAGGTGATGTTTAAAAGTTTCATCCTGAATTGCAATGTTAGAATATTTCATGGAGTGATGTGGCATGCTCTTAAAAAGTCAATATGAAATCACAATAGGCTCATTGGAATAACTCTATGGGCCCTATTTTAACGATCTGAAACGCAAGTAGCAAGCGCAAAGCGCAAGTAACTTTATGGTCCGGTCTTGGGCGCTGTTACTATTTTACTGGCGAGATAAATGACTCTTGCGCCAGGCGCAAGTTTAAAAGTGGCTGGTCTGAAGTGGCTTCATTATTCATAGGTGTGGTTTGGGCGTAGCGGAAACAAACCAATAAGAGCGTCATATCACATTCCCTTTAAGAGCGTGATGAATGAGGTGCGCTTGTTCCATAGCCCAATTCTATTATAACGGCGCATTTACCAGGCATCGGTTCACGGCTGAGGAGATCGATGTTCTCGTCAGGTCCGTAAAAGAAAGAGAAGGGACATTGGGGATGGGACAAAACCACCCAAATTAGTTTCGGTTAAACATGCTTATGATAATATTGGTATGTGTAAGCTTTATGCCTATTTTTCCCATCGTCATGGACACAACAATGATTTCCCTCATGTTTATATATTTTTCCTTATAATAATGTATCAATTGCAAAAAGTAAAATGCTTCTGTATAGATGAGAGAATCATCTACAGTGTATGCGTGTTAATCTGTAAGACTGGAAAAACTGGTTAAAGAGAAAATATCTGACCAGTGGCCTCTAAAGACAAAAGGCATTGCTTGCAAATTAACATTTGACACCCTACCCCCTATTCTCTGAACATCTTATCTGCATCTTCTCTCTTTCACTCTCTCAGTCAATGATACTGAAAACTCACACAAGAATATGGTTTTAATGTGAATCTGATAATCTTTAAGGATTGTTTAGAATCATTTTGATGGTCTCAGGGTGACTGGTAATAATGTCTCATTCCCAAAGTAATAAAAGAAAAGGTAATAAGGTTTTTAAGAAGTTTTGGAATCACTGTCACACAAAGGAGTGTGGTCTTTGAGTTAACACCTTCTGCCTTGTTGTCTGAATGCAAATTACAACCAAGCAAATGGTCTGCCCCCGATAAACATGGAAGGGGGATTCAGTAACTTTCCATTGTATCCTGGTGATTTACATATCAGGTGAGGTCTGATTATAAAGGGAGATGTAACAAGAGTTCGGGGCTGCTTTCTGTATTCAGATCAGCCCGTGATGTTGTGTCTTCAAGGCTCAGCTCATGTAGTATGTTGGGTAAAGTTCCTTTGTCCTAAAACAATTGATGGTTTGCTCTGATTATCTTGTGGAATTGTAATAATACATTTACCTGACATAATAAATTGTTATATTTGGCTATTCTAACAGACTTTGACTTTAGTTTCATTAGAGTTAAAAATAGTCAAGCATTAACTACTAAATGATGCACAGATATCATTGATAAACCCTTTTCATTTTATAGAGTCAGATGAAACGAGTTAATACATAAGATTAAATGTGTCGCATTTAACTAAAATTCACTTTGCCATGGAAAAGACGGAACACGCTTGAAACCTTCACCACGAATCGAATTCCGCGATTTGGGTCGATTTCGTGGCCCTTTTTACAGTTCACACTCTGTATTATGGCCAAGCATGTGCGCTTAAAATAGCATCTGAATGTTCGTGCAACGCGCCTTTGACTAAACCAAGTTTTTTCTGGTCAGTGGTGCAAAATAGCACCAGGGATTGTTTTGCACCGAAACACGCCTCCTTTTTGCGTCGACCCGCCCAGGGAGTGCAAGTTCATTTCCTAGTTTACCGATGTGTGTCTGTGGAGGGAAAAAAGCCCGCTTTGAGCGGGTGCAAAATAGGAATATAAATGCGTCAGTGTATAAAGTCATTTGCGCCGGGTGCTAGGGCCCTATATCTCCTTTTTTTTTTTTCTAAAACTCCAAATACTTACTTAAACATAGAATTCACTGTAGTTTCTAGCTGAAATGAACACTAAAAACGCCAAAATACCTGGTATAGCATTGCACTTGTTACAACAAACCAACATAAAACGTTGCCAGATTCATGTTCATCTGTTTCAGATCAAACTAAATTCACTTTTAACGCTACTCACCGGACATTTCACTGGACATGAAAAGGGCAACATAATATATTGTCGCAGAAAAATCACCAAAGGCACACTTTTCCAATTAACCTGGGTTGATTAAAATGATCCTTAGTACTTTTTAAATATGCATCCCATATACATCAGTGCATGTTATTGCAGAGAAATATATTATTAATATATTAAAGAGAAAAAAAAAAGTTTATATTTGTACTGTAATCTTTTACAAAAAAAAAAAAAAGAAAAAAAGTTTATTTTGTCTGGCATCTCCAACTCCTCTTATTTTCCAACCCCTAAAATTACCTGTCATACAGAGACCACTTCACTATTCATTCAATTCGCAGTAAATAAGATCAAGTCCTGCCATGCATTTTTACTCCTTGAAAATCCAGTCTCACCCAGAAAAATGTCACATTACGTGAGTAAAATGCAATTATTTGGGTGTGAATTGTCTGAGAAGTTGTTTTACTCTAAGTTATGTGAGGCTATGTGAGTTATATAACAACCACGATCTCTTTCGGTTGACTTCACAGAATAAGCAGAAACAAAACAAGAATAAATGTGTATCTCTTCCACATACACACATATACTTCCTCTCAACCCCTATCCATTTCTCTGCATTATTTCACTCCGTTTAAAATTGCTACCCGCTTACATCTTGCCAAGCCTGAATTGATTTTTTCAGCATTCAAAGCCTTTCACCCCTCTGAGTCTCTGTTGTGCCAGCACACAATGTAGTTTGCATATGACTAATCATCTGCCGTGTTTATATGTAATCTCATATCATTTCAGGCCACGTCCCTCGTTTTGTATCATCCTCTCTCGTCTCTTAGCTGTATCGCTCTTGTGAAACTCAAACCAAATCTACCTTTGCACAAAACACATGCAAATATCCCAGGCGTTCACTAAGAAAGACAGGGACTCTTGCAATCGTGTGTAAGAGTACCTAATGTTTCACAAAAGTGCACGTGGGCGGCGTTCTCCGTGGTTTTCAACTGGTGGGTCGTGACCGAAACAAGCATCAGGGTCTATTACAACAATGATATGCAAATTAATAAATGCAAATGAACATAAAACGGTGCATATTTAGGATAGCAAAAATAAGTATCGCTCTTTTTATGTACTGTATTTTGAATATTTGGCCCAGTGTTTCATTTTGGTCTTTTTTATTTCAAACATACTGCGTTTCCAGTGGAATACTGCGTGAAACTAATTATTTTTTAATAATAATAAAAAAAGATTGCAAAAAAAGATGTTGTTTATCTCTTTACAATACAGCTTGGGCTGGTTTACCATAAAAATGCTGCATCGTGGTGAGTTACACTCGTTGTTTAATGTAAAATCTAAACCCTAAAGCAAAACCAATTGAGAACCGCTGCAGAATATAGAACAGCCCTTTTCACTGCAGTTTTATTGATGCAGAGCTATTAAGTATCAGACCTTTTAGTAGGCGAAGATGAGATGGATAACAAATCTTCTCTTCTCTTGTGTTGACTGATGTCTTTGGGGTTAAACATAATTGTTTTGAATCCTCCAGGGCAGTTGTCAATTCGCAGATGCTGATGTGCTCCCGTGATGTTCTAGTCTCACTGCATTATTAGCAATATAAATCTACAAAGAGGTGAAAAGGCATGACATTCTCAGCCGTGACTACATAGTAATGCAGAATCTGCTCAACATCACATGGGTTATTAAAGGGGTGGTTTATTATGATTTCACTTTTCTAACTTTAGTTAGTGTGTAATGTTGCTGTTTGACCAGAAACAACATCTGCAAAGTTACAACGCTCAAAGTTCAAAGCAAAGGGAGATATTTTCTTTTTAAAGAAATTGCTTTATAAGTACTACAACAAACGGCTGGTATGGACTACACGACATTCCTCATGGGTTAGTGACATCACCAACCTTAGAATTTACATAAACCCCGCCCCGTGAACACGATAGTGTTAGTGCTCACGGTTCCCTTCCTCAAAAGTCTATTGGATTTTTGAATGGGTTTTTGCCAAATTGCCTGAAATGAGGTCTGTGGTGAATAAAGCCTCTAAATATTTTCACATTTTGATCTATGACATAAAACACACAGTTATAACCTGCTTGTGTTTTTTAAATCTTTATATAGGCTTCAAAATGTATACATTTTGGATTAACTTGGAAAGATTATCTTGATAGACAAAACGTGTAAGGGTCATAACTCTTTTTTGAACACAGATCTTATTTTTTGCGATTTTCCAAAAGCCTATGGGAAAAATGCATAGCTTTTACGATCGAGGGAACCCATGCGACGCTAAATTCCGAGTTGTCCTACAAAGTAACATCATCACTTAGGCACTCTATTTATAGATTATCAAGACAGAATATGCTAATCAATGACTAGAAGATAACTACACATAAGCTCATGAATTCATCTACCCCGCCCCTGTGCAGGGAGCAGCAGCAGCTCATTTGCATTTAAAGGGACAGACACAAAAAACGGTGCATTTTCGTTCACCCTCAAAAGGTGACAATTTTAACATAACATAAAAATATCTGTGGGGTATTTTGAACTAAAACTTCACATACACACGACATCAGAGACTTATTTTACATCTTGTGAAAAGGTCATTGGCTTTAAGAACAAGGGCGAGAATAGAGCAGGAAACAGGCTAGGATACCTAGAAGACTTATCTAGCAGCATTTCAGTCTGAGGCCACGTTCATCAACAGAATATGGTTGTAAGTCCTGTATTAGAGTGCTTAATACAAACGCATTCTTTAGCTGAACTTACACCCGTACATTTTCACAACTCGCAAACGTATTCTTGGAAAACACACTCTGTGTGAACGGAACCGGACTGTCTGTCACGTGTGTTAATGCGAGAGAGCCACTCTACAGCTGCACAAATGCGTGTTTACCGTGTTGCGTGTTTTTGCGTGTGGTTTCGCTTTGGGTAACTTAATAGCGACGGAGATACTCTAGCTCCCCTCGGTTATTGAAGATCTGATGGACGAACGCCATATTGGATTTGACTTTGGTCACTGTCGGTATGGTTACTGGTAGGGAATAGGGGCTTGACTCCAGTTGCACGTTCATATAGACAGTATTCGAGACTTTACGGTGAGTTACTGTTTGAACAGGATGTTTCAAGACTCTAAGGAAATGTGGTTGTCAAGAATTCAACTCTGAAATGATTGTTGTAAACCCCATGGCCAAAATACATAGGCTATTACAATTCAAAAAAGTTTTGGGTTGGATTTATATATATATATATATATATATATATCAAAAAAAAAATACAGTAATATATTGTTAATAATTATTACAATGTTAAAATATCTGTTTTCTATAATATAGTTTACATATAATTAAATTCTGTGATTAACAAAACGGAATTTTTAGCAGCCATTACTCCACTCTGCAGTGTCCTGTTTTCTCAATATGCAAAATAGTGATTTGTGTTCCCAAAAACAAAATATCATCCGGTGCAAAAGCTAATTATTTAATGAAACCATTGACCTTTTTCTCCTTGTGTTCCTCCTCCAGATTTTTCATATGACGTATGACCTGGCGAGTGCTGTGGTAAGAATCTTTAATCTGATTGGCATGATGTTGTTGCTGTGTCACTGGGATGGATGCCTGCAGTTCCTGGTGCCCCTCCTGCAAGACTTCCCTCCTGATTGCTGGGTGTCCTTAAACGGTATGGTTGTAAGTATTCAAAACTTTTCATTACTCTTTCAGAACTATTTTGTAATTTTGGACCAAATACTGGATCCGGTCAAAATGATCATTTGATAAGTGGATAAGACATGATTTATTGAAAATATTCTCTAAATGTTTAACTGCTTTCCATTAAGAAACTTGGTAATGACACGTTGCATTCACATAGTGTCAGAATTACCGTAATTACGAGATGACGTGAGATGTTCACATGACGGGACTTGCTCGTTTCTGTGGCAACTCTCTCGGATCCAAGGGTGGCTTTGTTGGTTATGACAGCAAAATACTTAATTGTGACATAAATTCACCTCCTGCGAAATACAGAAGAACAAAGAAAGCACCTGGTTACACTGGTAATATTAAAATGGCATACTATGGTCGTTGGCAAACTACTATAGTCTCTGTTGTCCATCTGCTGATTCTCTGATGCATACAAAACTGAAAAGCACTAATCATTAAATCATTTTTGAGGCACTTAGTAACAAATAAACTAGATATTTCACAACCAGAACTATATACACTGTGTATGCATTAATACATCAATTCAGCAAGGATGCTTTAAATATATCAAAAGCAACAGTAAAGAGATTTATAATACAAATGATTTCGGTTTCAAATAAATGCTGTTCTTTTGAATTTTCTAGAATTCCACAACATTATTAAGCAGCACAACTGTTTTCAACATTAATAATAAGAAGAAAAAGTTTCTTGAGCAACAAATTAGCATATTATAATTATTTCTGAAGGATCATGTGACACTAAAGACAGAAAACAATTCAGCTTTGCTATCACAGGAATATATTTTACTTTAATAATAGGCTAATGTGTAAAAACATGTTTATAATATATGTTTTTTAAACTGTATTTTTAATCAAACAAATGCAGCCTTGGCGAGTGTACAAAAAATTAAGAAATCTTACTGATCTCAAGTGCTTAGTTCGTTTAGATTAACTAACATTCTGAACACAAGGGTGAATAGTTTAAAGGCCTCGATATACTTCAAGTGAAATCGAAGAACGAACTGGTGTGACGTCATTTCAAACAAAATCAGGCCAAAACGAAGTTCATTTTGTGTTTGATTCGGAAGTTCGAAATAGCTTTCCAAAGCGGGTAAACATCTTCGAACTATCTTTGGTCCATGGCGATGATGTAATAGGTAGGCGAGCTCTGAGGCTCCACCTTCTTTGACGTGGACATTTTCTCTAGTTCATTTCTTCTGTTCAGTACCTCAAGGTCGGACATCCGCGAGTAAAAAGATGAACAAACTGGATATAGCTGAAAATTAAGTTGAAAATTCGACATAAAAGACACCTTTTCGTGTTCAATACTGTAGAGCTGCTTGTTTTTAATCAATCTAATGAATACAGTGATTTATAAATAAACGCGACTTTAGCTACTGAAGTGTCGAATTGCAGAGCTCGTGCTTTCTTAACTACTGTTTTTTTCACCGCTGTCATTTTTGTTGTGTTTATTTTGTTATTGAAAGGAAAGTGTGCCTGTGCGAAAGAAAATGAACGAAAATGAACTTGGGTATATCAAATGCCTAAAGTGGGCGATTATTGGCCCCAATAAGCTGTAATGTGCAATGGCAAAACCTAAAAACATTGAATGTCAAAGACTATTTACCTTGCTAGCCATTGCTGTTAAAGCCACTGACATTTACATGACGACACAACAGTCAAATGGGAAAATTTAGTTTTTAACTTCAATTTGTTTGACCAACTCACGAACGGACGTCTGAAACAACTAACACGACACAATAACATCAGTTAGTCAGAGTAAAATAAATGAAAGAACCCTGAGCATATGAATATTTGGACCCATTGCTGTTAAAATATAAGAGGCACTGGGCAGAACATTTTATACTTGACCTTTATCAACGAGAGCTGTTCAACTAATCAGGACAGATGGCTCGCTGTAGTTTTTCACCACACATCATGTTGGTGCTAAACGGATGTTAAAATGCCAAGACCATTTTTTTTTCTTCTCCCAGCTTTACGAATGAGTTCAACTCATATTCCAGGTCAAATAGCATTGCTGGTAAAAGCATTAGGCTTTTTTTAGTAAGTCGGATTTCTCTGATTCCCACTAACAAAGATTATGCATTCACTTTGAAAGTGTGCGCGGAAATCAGCAGACGGCATGTGCAAATCTCTTTGCATATTCTTCTGAGCCTGTTAGTTTGGCATCACATTAGATAGCAGGCTCGGGTGACGGTGGTGCTGGGGTGATATGGCTGTTCGTGCTTACGCAACCATACCCCCTCCTCAAGTGCTACAGGGCTCAATCTAACGTTGAGGGTCTCTGTGTGATACTGTGGGGCCCTCGGCTCTGGAGGGCCTTACCGGGAATCATTGATATTTCTGTTTTGAAATGTTACGAAACCTCTGGCTATATTGAACGCGACCTTCTGACAAATTAAAGTTAAACCCTCAGCCATGTCTGCTTTCTCTTAGAAACATTTTACGTCAAACGCACTACTTGCCTCTTCAACCCCGACGGAATAGATGGAAAGTATGCATGCGATAACACACACGAAAACAAGTCCTTTGTTATAGCTCTTATGCTTACAGGAAGTGACATAACTGTGCTTCAAATATGTACTTAAAAAAAAAAAAATCGAAGCAAATTTCCCTCATCTTTGCACTCTGAGCTAAAGAAGAGGTCAAGCGCTCATGGCGTTTGTTCTGCAGTTGGATGTGAGAGGAATTTGAAATCCCCCCTTGTGGCTCTGATTTAAAATACCAGCCTCAGGTTCCTGTTTTTTTTTTTTTTTTTTTTTTTTTTAAACAGAGAATAGGAACATACTGTTGTGCACACACAAGCTCTATTTCAAAACCTAGTGAGCTACCTATCTAGGCAGCATGTTAAGAAACCATATGAAGGCTGTTCCAAAAAGTAGATAAGTAAGATACCTTCTTTTAACTATATTTGGTGTGCATCCTTCAGTTAAGTCTATCTCAGAATGCATTTTACTGAACTCACCTTCTGGGAAGTTTCCACTTTTAAGCTTAGAAGTCATAAATGTGATACAAGTAAAAAGTAGTAAAAAAAGATTGTGATGGGCATTTCTTTTTCGTTTCAGCAAAAACTTGTAGTTTTGTCACTGCAACAAAATGAAAAGCAAATGATGCACATTAGGTGTTTAAGTGATGCTTATCTTTATTTTATCCTTCTTGCGTTGCCACAGAAATTGATGTGTAATGTAATTTTATCACAAAAAAACTGACTTCATAAATAACTAAATGGCTAGTATTTATGGCAAGCTTGACAGATATCCTTTATCAACAAAACACAGAAGGACCTATACGTAAGAGTGACGTACAGAACTATTCAAGTTGGCATAATCCTCAACAAGGCATGGATTCATTTGATCAAAAATACAGTGAAAACAGTAGTATTGTAAAATATTATTACAAATTCAAAACACATGCTTTCTATTTTAGTAAAGTTTAAAATATAATGTATTCCTGTGCTGGAGCCAGGAGCCATTACTCCCGTCTTCAGTTTCATAGTATCAATGTATTTATTAAACTTATAAACTGTGTTAAAAAAAAATAAAAAAAAATCCGGATTATTTGATGAATAGAAAGTTCAAAAGAACAGTATTTGGAAAAAGTCTTTACTCTTACATTTGATATATTGAATCCTTGCTGAATAAAAGCTAATTTCTTTACCAAAAAAGCAAATTCTATAATCAATATTTACAATTAAGATTCCAGTTTTTATCTCCAAGTAGAGAATAATGACAGTGAAAGCTGTTTTCAGCAAATACAGTCATTCCGACATAACATGAAGTCTTCTCCAAGACCATTGCGGCTTCAACGATCAAACATGCACATCCACCCCGACTAATAATATTGTAAAACAGTCAATTTGACTGAGATTCATTCTCTTAAAATGAGCTTTTGTTATTGAGTCATCAATTTCGCAGGTGTTTTGATGCGACATTTCCTCAGCGATGGGGTTTCTAAACTGATAGAGATGCACCACCTCCTCATTTCTGTAAATTATATCAAGACTGCATCATTATTTTCCATCTGTCTCATTCCCCTGGGCTTTGTTCAGATAAATGCCACAACCAGAAATTCATAACAGAAACAAACAGAAAATCAAAAGGCAAGGAAAGTGTTTTGTTTTACTTTTCTGTACTATAAGACTCATTAATTTTGAGTACCTTCTTGGTCTAGGTGCATAATCTTCTCTCTCTCTCTCTCTCTCTCCTTCCCCGAGTGACTTTGTGTGACTTTGAATCAATGACCTCCCTGTGTACCTCTGCACCACTTTCTCCTCCCCAAAAAAAATCAATGCAGATGAAAAATGAGCAAAGATTCCCAGTGCTGTCTTTTCCCTGTGCACGGATGGGGGTCCCAGAGGGAGGCGGTGGCCCTGCTGCTCAGTAATTCAGGGTTTAGACGGGCGAAGATAAGAAGAGGATATAATGCCCTGGCGGGGGAGTGCTAATTGGGACATTGAGTCTGAGTAGACAGGAGGCGACACTGACTGTGTTACCGGCCAGGCTGTCGGGTTAATTTAGCCATCAGAGAAGTTAGCGTTGCAGGACTGTCTGGGGATCTCGACATGCCTCTCTTAGCAGGATCCAAACTAAGTGACTGTAACTTTAAATCGCTGTATAACTCACTTATTTGAAAGAGATAGTACAAGATGGGTCACATTCCAGACTTGTTGCATAATTTCAGGGTTGCCAACTCTCACAATGCCCAAGTAAATCTCACGGCAAATGAAAGAAGCCAACGTGCTGCACAGACCGTTTCAAGAATCGCAAAGGCGTTTCGAAAGCCACCGAAGATGTTCAGGTCGCATTGTGAAACGTAGTATTTGTACACACACAAAGCAGATTTACACTTATTCATTTGAGTTGTTCATTTTTTAAAGTAGAATAATATTAACAGCTGACATATACGTTTACAGCATTAGTTGGGATTTAGCTAACTGTTCCCATTTAATTATTCAAATGAGTCGGTATTAAGTCAAGATCCGAATCATATTGCAAGCTTATGAATATTAAACTATAAAACAAGCCATGAATCACTAGTGTCACCAAATAGATTTAAACGATTAATTTTCAGGATATATCCATCGTTACCATGGATGTCTATAATGTTTATTGCCATTTATTGCAGGAAAAATGAATGTCATGCATTATATAACAACACATTCTCACCCCAAGGCGTCACCTTTGACCATGCTTCAAAATTTGACGTTTTAGGCGCCCTTTAGCGTCACTTACATGACGCGATCCTACGGCGTCATTTAACTGACGCTAAAGGAAAGGGGGAAAAACATTTTA